CCCCTACTCACACCAAGTACTTCTGCAGCCACCTTTCGTACACATGTTGCCATCTTTAGCCACATGTCATCTACATCTTCTCCTTCTTCCCAAGGCCCCTCGCCTAGCATCATATCCCTAAACGTCTGCGCCACTTCCCCTTTAAGCTTCCACCACTTCGTTCTCACGGTCTTGGCACGTTTGTCCCGGTGAACACGTATTTGGAATCGAAAGTCCGCTACCACCAGCTTATGCTGGGGGACAACACACTCTCCAGGTATCACCTTGCAATCTACGCAAGCGCGTCTATCCTCCCTCCTTGCAAGGATAAAGTCGATCTAACTTGAGTGTCGTCCACTATGGAAGGTCACTAGGTGAGATTCCCTCTTCCTAAAGAGGGTGTTCGCTATCAACAAGTCGTAGGCCATCGCAAAGTCCAACACACCCTCCCCCTCTACATTCCTACTACCATACCCAAATCCTCCGTGCACTCTCTCGAAACCTATATTAGTCGCGCCCACATGTCCGTTTAGGTCTCCTCCTACGAAGAGCTTCTCGCTGGCAGGCACCGTACTGACCAAGGTGTCCAGATCTTTCCAGAATTGCCTCTTGGCACTCTCACTAAGACCTACCTGAGGGGCATAGGCACTGATCACATTTATGGTCACATCCCCAACTACCAATCGGACTATAATAATCCGGTCGCCTTGCCTCCTAACATCTACAACTCCATCCTTAAGGCTCCTATCGATCAGGATGCCTACACCATTCCTACTCGAAGAAGCCCCAGTGAACCAAAGCTTGAAGTCAGTATCCTCCACCTCCTTCGCCTTCTGCCCCTTCCATTTAGTCTCCTAGACGCATAGGATATTAACACGCCTCCTAATAGCTGCATCGACTAGCTCACGTAGCTTACCCGATAGGGACCCTACGTTCCAACTACTTATCCGGACCCTAGTTGGTTCGACTAGCTTCCTTGCCCTTCGCACCCGTCGAGAGAGATGCGAAGACCCTTGCTCATTTTCCACTACACCCGGGCGCCGATGTAGCGCGCCACTAAGAAAATGACGACCCGGTCCTTGCTCACTTAACACCATGCCCAAACCACGACATGGCGCGTCCCTGAGGGGGAGACGACCCGACCCTTGCCCATTTGACACCATACCCGGGTTCCGATATGGCGCGTCGCTAAGAGGGTTACGCCCCAACGAATATCTATTGTGTTTCATCTCCATAGAATGGTTAGGTTTTACGTTGACTCGTCAAGCCTATCACAACCCTCCTCCTTTACCAGGACTTGGGACCTGCTATGTTGAGACAACATAGGCGGAGTTAAAATTTATTAGAAAATTTATAAAAATTTATTAGAAAAATAAAATTATTTATCAATTTATATATCTATTTTTAATGTAGTTATATGTTGTAAGTTAAAAATTATTATAGGTAAGTCGCATAAATAAAAAGTGTTATATTAAATATATAATAATATATATTTTTGTAAAAGGTATTTAAATTTTTAAAAAAAATTAACAAGCATACACAGGTGTTATACTAGTTCTTTTTATAATCTCGAATGAATATCCTATGAATTTTAAAATTTTAACAAATCTAAATTAAATACACCAATATTTTAAAATCTGAGATATCTTTATAAATTCCAGTTAAGTATACCTCCTAAAAGTGTATGTTCGGCCCTTATATATAACAAGTAAATCGAGGATAAATATTAATTGAACGCCACAAATCACGTAAATTAGTATAAATAAATATAGGACAAATATTAGTGTGACGTACTACACGACAATTGAAAATTGCAATAGATCTTGTGGGACACGTGTGGCGCCTGGGTAGAGCTAAATAGAACAGAAAGTTGACACGTTAAAAAGTGATGCTAAATTGATCGCACACGTGGCGGTTCTACACATAAATTGATATCTGATGACCCACTAACCCGTCAACCTTTCAAAACACTGGTTTTTTTTAAAGAAAAATCAACCTTAATCAATCTACCTTATGGAAGAATCCCGACCACCGGCAACGGCCGACAAAGGCGTCTCCGTGAAGAAAGGACTTGTTGCGTTAACGGCGTCTATGCAAGAGCGCCTTGGCTATCTCAAGGCGTTGGCAGTAGGTTTCACTAAGAAACTCACCACCAAAGGCGAGAAAGAAGCTACCGAGGCCGATATGCAGACGGCCAAGATGCAGGTCGACGCCGCAAATCGAGCCGAAGGCATCAAGAAGAGTTTGGCTGACGGTTGATCAAACGAATCTTGTGTTTGTATCTTACTATTTTAAGCACCTTTCCACTTTTAGTAGCTAAGCCACTATTAGGTAGTTCCTTTTTCGGTAGTTTATGCTTTCATGTAGAGATTATAATGTATCTGTAATGGTGAATGCTTTGGTAAATCGCAAATATACTGTTAATTTCGAATAGGAAAACAACAAACAACTCATTTTACAATAGACCGTTGTAAATGTTCAGATATCAAATCTCATTATTGTATGGAAAAACTTCAGTTACCAGTTACCACACAACCAAAGGGAACACAACACACGAAAATCTTACAGCTTAAAAACATATTGTAGTAACTCACTTTGCGTCTGTAAACGAGTGTTGATGAGTGCTCAAATTGGAGCCTTGAGATGAGAATAAGTTAGGGTACGAGAAATATGTCTCGTCATCCATGGAGGGTAACCTCTGAGGTTGGTGGGGCACAACGCCCGAATCAACTACATCGACACCTGGTGGTGAAGAGGGATCGATCGAGTGTAGTTTGTCCGAATCATCCGAAACTGGTTCATGTGGATGATGAGATTGGTTCTCAGCCTCATTCGGATCAGGTGTACCGTCGTCTTTTTTCTTGACAAGCTCACTGATCCGGAGTTGGGCGAGGCTGGCTGCTGACCTGGCGGCAGCCGCAGCACGCTCAGCTGTCTCTGCAGCTGCCTGAGCAGCAGCAATTACATCTCCCAAGTCCACTTTTTTCTCGTTATTTTCGGTCTTAGGGACAGGACTGTTTCCCGGCAAAGATTGCGGTGGAGGGGAGATGAACGGCACAAATTGTTCGTCTTCAGCTTTACTTGACGAGTTTGATGGCATGCCGTTGTATGGGGGCCCAACGGGAGACGGCTCGTCTTCATCGTCAGGATCTGAGAGCGCAGATGGAGGAAAATGCAGCATTTCGGGTGCCGAGGCAGCACCTTTATTGTGCTGTACAATGAGCGGCTGCTTGGGAACTTCCGGAAAATCTAACAAGTCGGGATCCACCTCACTAGAACCAGTGTTTTCTTCAGCTAACGTGGTGTGCGTTGTTTCTTGATGCTTCTCTTCCGGAAGGGGCACTTTGGAACCGGTCACAAACAGCGTCGACCCATTCTGACAAGGAAAAAGGCCACATGAAACTATGTTAAAAAATATGATATTAATGCTAAAAACGTCCCAACGTATTTTAATGAATAGTTCTCCTCTTGCATCCATCAAACCGTGAGAGAGTATCTTACGGTTTCTTACCAGTAAGTCTTCGTGTGGCTTTAACAATTCGCTTTCTGTAGCAGCAGGATCCCAGTCGAGTTCGTGCTCTTCAGCAATTTCTTTTAGTAGCTTTAACTTCACATCAGGAGCAGGTGAACGAACAGAGAGGAGCTCCACCAACTGGTACATTTTTCAATATCAGCAAGAAAATGTTAAAAAGAAGGTAACAGGTATCAGCTGTAAAATGTGGCGAGTAAACGGTAGGTCTGTACCTGGCGATTGACACCGCATTCAGGCATAAGCTCGGTCGCAGCAGACACAAATTCTTTACCATATTTACCAGCAAACAGCATTTGCACCTGTAGCAACTCTGGCAGGTCAGCACACCTTGGTGCAGCAAAGCACACACTGGAAATCGCCTCTTTCAAGTCCAGTGGGCATTCCCTGTGATGTGTACAACACAAACAAGGTTAAACTCGAGCCAAGTTAAAACATGGTTAAATGAATTTCCTTAGCATGATAAAAGATAATGCAGGAGAAAAGTTGTGATGCATATCTCAATTTTCGGATAGAAATGTCAAAACATATGTAATAATGCAGGTGAAAAGTTGTGATACATACACAACTTTCTTATAGAAATGTCAAATATACGAAATCAGGAAAAGAAGGCCAACTAATCCATGGCACATGAAAAACCAAAAAATGTTGCACACCACATGATCAGCAGCATGGATTTAAAACAGCATTGATTTAAAAGCTCAAACTGTTGACCAAAGGACAATTTAGCCCCATTTTCACTATGATAATAAAATGCTTGTATATTTAAGATTTTCTGGTACCTGACTCTAGTCAAAGCAAAAGTACAAGCAATATAAAGGTCATAGCTCCACAAGCATAAATACTCTGCAAAAAGATATGGCCATACAAAATTGATCCCAACAACTAAAGAAAGTATCTTCGGCCATTTTCTTTATCCAAGAGCTTCACACAACTTCAGCATACTGAATACAGAACACACTTGGATGTATATCCTCTTGATAGAAAATGTTTGAGCATGTAAGAAATTCAACAAGTGTCCAAGATGCGAACCATTCTCCCATTATTATCCGATCCAGACTTGTTATGTGCTCTCTCTATATTAGTTAATGTTCCTATGCCTATACACTACCAATGCAATTTAAGTAGATACACTTGAGGTATCGCTTCGTAATTAATATGTCCTTATTCCTGAATAGCACCTAAAAAAACAATGGAAGAGAAAAATGAAAGTAGACGGACGCCTCCATACGTATAAAATGAGACCACAGAACATACCAGAAAATTCTAGTGACATTCATAACCAAGTTAATTATTAACTATTATCATCACTGTATAATGACCAGCATCTTATAAGCTAGGAAAAAGAGATACCTTTGTGCATCTATAATGGGAAGGCGGACAGCAATGAGCTCACAGAAGAGCTCAACGATCTCTTGTGCAGCCATCATCTTCTCTTCTCTTATGATATGTTCCACCTGAAACCAAATATATATATTAGAAAAGAAGAAAACATAATCTATTATTCACTCCCCAGGATGCCGACTAACACAAGATGAGCAATGTAAATATTCTACAAATGAAAATGAACATATAAAAATCAGAGGAATTTTGGGTTATTATAAAAATACCCGAATCCGGGCGGTGGCTTCTTGACCAGTTTCAAGTAGCTTGGCAATATCTTTACGCATCTGCTTGACCTGAATCTCTCTTCGATTCCTAAGTAACTTAATCCTTGGTATTGTGAGTTTTAGCAAAGTCTTACTGCATTTGTGGAAGAACGAAAAAAGAAAATTACAATTAGAATGCATATCATCACTAAACTAAACCCAAGTACAAAAAACAACGCAATTTAAAAATAGGGTTATCATGCAAAGAACAGGCTCCGGTTCAAAAGGATTTACTGATGGATATAATTCGGGTTCGGTTCAACCAAAAAAAAAAAAAAAATGTCACAACAAATAGGTTTATTCCTAAATACCCTTATCAATCATATGCATCCATATTCATCAAGAATCAAACAAAAACGTGCATAACAAGGCAAGTTCTAGAAGATCAACACGTTATGACATCACACAATCAAGAAAGGGAGCATCATATTCGTTATATGCTCATAGGCTCAAACCTCACAACAATCAAGGACAAATAGCGTTAATCCTCGTGCATTTGGCCATAAAATGCCATATGATCATCAAGGACAGTCAATCAATTGATATGCAACACACAAGGATTCCCAAAATTTTTGCACACATCAAACAAAAATATCACGAACTGGCATCGAAAAGAGAATCAAGCATAATCACAATTGATATTCCAAATAGACTCCCGATTATGGCCGCAGTGGCATCACATTATCCCAATCGAGCCGCAAGCGACCCGACAGTTCCGATTATAGCCACCACGACCATCCCCAGGCTCCCAATCGCCTAGCCCCAATGGGCTTTCCGTATCCAAGAGATCAAGCAACGCGCCATGGACCAACACTGGATGCTATCGCAACAATGTTGGCACACAACACGAGCTTCGACGTCCACCTCGTGCTTCACCCCCGAAAGGGTTGGCACAGGCGACACTATCAGACACTATCAGACAACATCGACAGAAGCAATCTCAAAATCAGTTCCAACATCACGACACTTATCTACAGGCAACCAACAACCAGCCCCGAGCAAGCAAATTGGATCAGATATGGCAAAGAGGGGATCATTGGCATCGCCATATAATTAGAAAGATCGTGATTAACAATTTCAAGGCCGTCAAGATCAAATAGTATTTGGGAAGAAGCTGAATTATGTACGGACTCACAAAACCCTAAATCTCTTCACAAAATGGGTATATATCTGCATCCATATCTGAACCAAATCAAAAGAAAATACAAGCGAGAACTTAGAGATTACCATTTCGCAGCGTTGAAGCGCTGTTTGAAGAAGGAATCAAGCATCGACATAGCTGAATACTCGAATTCAAAGCTCGTGACTTGAGATTTAAGTTTACGGAGAAGATTATAGAGAGCGATAGAGAGAGGGAAAATATATTTAGAAGAAAACTTGAGCTGAAAATCACGCACCTGCTCCACCACAAGACAACCACAAGCGAATGGGGAGAGGGACCTGTGTGACGGTAGCGCGGACGGGGACAACTTTCTTAGTATGTAAGGATAATTTTTAAATTAATTAGTTAATTACACTTAGATTTTGTCATTTTTTTTTAAGATAGTATAAAGTGTGATGGCAAAATTTGTTTGGTTATAAGAATATATAGTATTGGTATAATGGGGATTGTTGTATGATGGAATACCATAGAAAGAGAAATGATCACTTCATAGTTCATAGTTTTGTAAACCAGTCCCGGGAACGGAACAAGTTCGGGTCACTAAATTAATTGTTGGTAATTAAATTTTTAAATTTTTTTAAATTATACATATAGTATTATTGTCATATAAAAAACATAAAAATAATAAAATTAAATATTTTGTATATAAATTTTGAACATCAAAGTGTTAATAATATTGCATCTCAAAGTAAATATTTATCATATAAATATATAAATATATATATATATATATATATATTAAAATAGAAAAATTGATTACCATATAAATGATTAAATATTTATCATAAAATATTTACTGGGTCGATACCCAGGTTGATGGGGTTTTACCAAGTCCGTTTGCCCGATTCTAATAACCCACCCGAACCAGTTCTGGTTCCTACGTCGACCCATCAGGTGTGTCCAGTTTAAAAAACTATGGACATTTCCTTAATAATTTCCAATATTGTGATCGGAATAATTAGAATAGCGATGATATTATTTCAATGAAAATTGCAAAACCAACTCATATGGAGTTAATCAATAACATGTTGTTTTTCTATTGCGCCGTCTTCAAAATTTTAAACTAACAATTGGCAATGAGAATTATTTTAATGCTAGGACAGTATTGGGCAACAAGGTAACGCACTTCTATATAAAGATATGAGGTATGTCAATTCTCACTCTATATAAAGTGGCTTTATATCTACTGTTCATCGTTTTCATCATTTGTGGATTGATTTGATCGTCGGAGTGCTAACGTGGAGAACCCCTCATTGTACATTTTTCAGGTCTACGAACATGTCAGAAAGCAGATCCAAGTCGTGCCAACCCGATCGAGGTCTTTTGCACACCAACTACATTCTTATTAAATTAAATATCAGTTTTACAACTTTTTTCACATATTTCTAATTTTACCATCACATATTTATAATCGAAATAATATATTATAATAAGATATGGGTAAGGAGAGAGAGAGAGATAGATAGATAGAGAGAGAGAGAGAGAGAGAGAGAGAGAGATAAGTACTACTGTGATATTATTTTATTGATAATGTTTGAACACTTTATATTTCATGTTTCTCAATTCTAAACATGAACTCTAAAATGATATCTACTTTATATTGGGTGCAACAAACATATAAAACTATCACATATCATGAAAAAAGAAAGATAAAATTAATAGTAATATTTGAAACTACTTTTGTACTGATAAATATTCAGTTTACTTTAATTATAAGATTCATCATCATTCCCGAGCATTGCATGGGCTACGTGCTAGTATTTGATCCAATTTCCATCATTGATACCAAATTGTTGACTTCACAATCTTTGTTAAACAAGCATTGCAATCATCAAATCAAAGTTCATGCTAGATCCACATTAGGAAATACAATCTATGTTAAACAAGAATTACAATCATCAATCAAAGTTCATGCTAGATCCATATTGAAATACAATCTATGTTAAACAAGCATTATAATCATCAAATCAAAGTTTTTGCTACATCCATAATGGGAAGTTGTGAGGACACTCCATTTACATCTCTTTTTATAGTTAAGAGAGTTGGCACCCAAAGCTTTCCCGGCTGACCCTTTAGAGCCTTGGCCTCACTAACACTTATTCTGCGGCTGCTGCTACTACAGTGCTACAGGACATGTAGGTTTGTACTGCCAAGTCTTCATTAGCATGTGTCTATGCATAGCCCAAAAGTACAACTACTGAAAGTTAATCAAACATTGGTACTCAAAGTGATGATAGATATATAGAAGTGGAGAATTGAGTTTGATAACATTAATAAGCATTATTTCTATTAATGAATTGGATACAGAAATACAGAAACTTGATGCGACGCAGTAGGTGCTCGGAAACTTAAAACGAGTGATTGATCATCGACATAATTACAACTTTTACGCACGTACAAGTACACTTCAACTAATTACAGTGGTACATCATCCAAGTTGAAATCTCTAGACGAGAACAGCTTCGCGAGCTCCTTTAACTCTCAGAAATCTTATACAAAACTGTGGTATACAGACAGGAGGAGGAGAACAGTATTCAACAACCGGACTTCATTCATTGGAGAACTCCTCTCAGTTCATCCATCAGCCGATCCCGGATAAAAGGTTCAGTCTGCAGCGTGCAACCAGTCAAACTTTTAATTTCATTCCCAAAAATAGAAGAAAATCAAGTCGAAAGACCAATTAAGAAATTAAAAAAAAAAAAAAAATAAAAATATATCACGTCACACACCATAATATACAGTAACATACCTTTTTCAGCAAAGCTGCTAGGGCTTGCGGTAGGGCCTGTATATCCACAGATGAATTCCCAAGCTCAGACAACTGAGCCAACACTTTCTGAACGCGCAATTCTCGTAGCCTCTCCTCATAGTTTCGAACATCATTCATCCACGAAAAGAAAGCTTCGTCATCCATCCACGAGCTCTCATTCCCCCCAACAACATCCGAGTCCAAGAACCATTTCTTAATCAAGTCCCTTGCAGCCTTATACCCAACTCCATGGCCCCCAGCGTCCCTCACGGCCCTCACCAGCGAGTCTTCCACGACTCTCCGGTGCAGCCTCCGGTAGAAAAAGGATCTCGAGTGGGCCCACTCCACAACTTGCTTGATCACCCCTTTTGCAGCCATCCTCAGGGAAGTGTCATGCAGCTCGGCAAACTTTGTAGCTATCTGAGTGTAGAGTGGCAGAAGCTTCTTCTCCCGGGCTTTTATCTGCCCCTGCAAATTTTCTAGAGCAAACCGGGAGTCTCCGGCTTCCGCAAGTTTCGACTTTAGGCTGACGAGCTCCGGATCAAGCCGGCCCATGCATTCCAGCAATTCCCGGGTCCGGAACTTGATCTCAATCAGGCCCTCAGGCTCGAGGACGTTCCCCTTAGCCGTCTTCTCTGCATACATCTCGATGTGATCGGGATTGATCTTGCTGTCAACGACCACCCAGGCCCCACCACGAAGCTCACCTGTCATTGGTATATATATGAAGACGGGCTGTTTGTAGGTCCGAAGATTCTCGACAATAGTCGACCCAGCTTGCAGGATGCCTTCGAAGAGGTCCCTCTGCCCGCCCGAGAAGCCTCGCCAGTTGGCAATAATGAAGAGCGGAAGCTCCTCCCGGTTGAAGTCCATTAGTGCCTGTGCGGTCTTGGTTGCTGAATCGGGAAACCACACCTGTCCTGCCTGCGGTACCACCCTCTCGTGGGAATCCAGCTGCCCGGGGTCCGCCGGTATTACCTAAAGACAAAAGTGTGACAACAGGATGAATAGAATTCGAGCAAAAAGAGCATCATAACGATCAGCTTTTCCATTCAGTTTTTTTAAGTTCGTTCTTAGGTTTTCTATTCAGGTTGTCTTTCAAGTTTTATATTCATGTTTCACTTTTTAGGCTTCTTAATTTATTTATTTATTTTTATTCGTTTAAATTTTCTTCCGTAATTTTTGCTTCTTTTCATACTTTTCCATTTACTTTCTTTCATATTTCAGTTTTAACGCGTTAAATCTGTTGACAGGAATGTGTCGTTTACCTGCATCATCGTCTGGGTCTCCACAGCAACAACCCCAACAGGTATGCCGCCAAGCTTCGCCCGACCCGTGACAACCGTCCTCGCCCAGCCTTCCAAAGTCTCGATGAAACTGTCTCGGTCGAAAATACCCCCGGCCCACTTCCCAGTGCCATCAACAGTACCACATATGGCTGCACGTGGATCGCACGACGTGTCCGGTAAATACTCAACTGTCCTGTCAGGAGGATCCAATGGGCTCAGGATGGGAAGTGGACCCCCAGAGTATGGAGGAACGAAGCTCAGCCACTTCAAAATAGCCGATACGCCCTCGAGATCGTCCGAGACTGTGAGATGAACGACTCCGTTTGTGGCCATGATTTTGGGCCCACCTAGCTGCATGTGGGAGCTGTAAACCTCGCGGCCCAGAAGCTTGTTCAATGCCGAGAAACCAGTCAGAATAATCGGCTGGTCGAGTCTTTGTATACACCGCATGCCGAGACGGGCGAGATAAGCACCGATTCCAACAGTTCTCCCGGTCACATAAGTTACGGTAAATGTCTCGTTATACGCCTTTGAGTACGCACTGGCAATTGCTCCACTGCCAGTTAGGTTTTCAACTCCTAAACCATCCTCCTTGCCAACAATAGTATCAATTACCCATCTGATCTCTCCACTAGGGAGCTTCAACTCGTGTGCTATTACAGAAGTCCCGATGCGTGCATAATCTTCGGGAGTTAAGTAAACGTACTGGAAACCACGCTCGGGGTTCGTTTCATCAGACCAGCCGACTCTAAAGCAGGATTTCACTTCCTCAGCCACACCAATACGGGCTCCCGAATTGGCTGCTAGATAGATAAGAGGTATTTTCTGGGAGCAAGCAATGTCAGTCACCGCTTGAAAGAAAGCATCCTCTCTCGGACCAAATGAACCATTCTTGAAAGTCACATCATTTGACACAATGAATATTGTCCTTCCGGAAGGAAATTCAGGTGTGGAAATCTCCATGCGCCAGGCTACCATGCCAACATCATTAAGCCCTGGCTGACGCTCAACGGGAACAAGAGTAGTGCCCCAACTTCCTTTCTTGTCAGCAAAAGTCAACTCAGTGATGCTGACTACTGCTTTATCTTTTGGTTTGTTGATATTGGGATTCTCTGCCCACGATTTGATCAGAGCTGCATTGAAAGCCTGCAAAGGGAGAAACCTTTTGAGATAACATACATCTCATTCAAATATTGATTATAAAAAATCAAGGTAGATACTCATACCAGAGGGAAGTCATAGCAATAAGTCGTGCTGCTTTTTCGGGCTAGAAGGCGTTTCTGGTCAAGAACTCCCAAAGGCTTATACTGTGCACTTACAGGCAATCCATGCAAAGGAGCCTGTCCAGAGGTGGAACGGTAGATTATCTCTTTGCTAGAGTCCTCAACTTCTCTGTAAACCTGAAAGTTAAAAAAAAATAAAAAAAAAAATAAAAAATAAAAAATTTCTAATCGGTGTTTATTATAGACCTTGCCCTTCATTGGCTCCAAGCACATGAACTGCATAATGTTGGATAAAAATGAAAAACCAGCTTGCACACATTTAAAAATAAAAAAAAAAATAATAATAATAATAATAATAATAATATAATAATAATAATAATAATAATAATAATAATAATAATAATAATAATAATAATAATAATAATAATAAAGTTGTTCAAGAAATCCCTTAATCATAATCTGATGGTCAGTTCTAATGTTTATTTTTGTCTATGAAGTGACTTTCCATGAAGAAGGCACATATGTGCCACGAATCATGGGCAATGCAAACCTGTCGCCAAACTGACATGACATATAGATGTGATGCATGGGCCTTCCAAACTTACATGCACGATGCAGGTGTGACCAGTCACATTTGTGACCACAACTCTCCAAGCCCCATTAGCATCTCCTTCAGATGATATCCAAAGCTTAATTTCCCACTCACAAACTCCTAAACGATGCATTTTGACACCAGCAGATGCATTAACTTCTTGTGCCATGGTGTCCAGAATTTTCTCAACTGCAGCTTCTTCATGGCCATGAGGAATGTCCACTCTTCTGAAAGTGATTTTCAAAACTTTAGTCAACATTAGACTTATAATATCAGAACTTTACACGCAAAAGTAAAAGGAAAATATCTTTACTTGTGATATGGCAAGAGGTCATCTATTTGTTGCTCTCGCAAGACATAAAGGTACATATGAGCATGGTCAAATTTAATAGCAGCATTATGAGCATTGAGTTCAAGTTCCTCCATTGCAGATGTTAAGGACCTCAAGATGCTTCTTGAAGTGAAGGACAGAGACCAGAAAGATTGAGTCACTCCTTGATCTAGAACAGCGAGACCTTCATTTGACAAAGGCTGCCTCACGAGTGTTCTGAGGAACATCCTCTGGATGGGAAGTGGCTTGTCAACAACTGTGTAGAGGTGCCACTGACGATCCCTAGAAGGAGTGTACCGTATATTCTCATACTTTTTTAGTTTGTCCTGTACACAGAAAATTTTTAGGATACGATAAGGTAAATTAAATTCCAGAAAGCATAATTTTTTCTTTGTGCCAAAAGGACCAGTGTTGACAAACCAGCTCGAGGTATATTGATAGAGGTGGCTCCAAGTGACGCAATAGAGGTTCCTCCTCGTAGTAGAGCTTTCCTTCTGACCAATGGAAGGAATGCCTCATCGGCCCCCGTCCTTCATCTCTCTGAATAATACAGCTGACGACCTCAACTCCAGCATTTCTAAGGCTCGAACTTATTTCTTTCTCCTTCAATATTTTGGCCAACTTGTTGATTCTCTCTTGAGCCTGATCCTCATCACCACTGCAGTAATAACAGGAAAGAAACCCACCAAGCGTCACGTGAGACAAATCATAAACTATACAAACATATTAGTAAATACCGAAATTTTGAGATAAGAGATGCAAACATCCAATTCATGGTTTAGGAAATGGCTTTATATCCTCTAATGCCGTTTAAATTCACCTTACACTAATAATCATTTAAGTAGAAGTGCTTCCATCCAAATTGAACATCTAAATCTGAAAGGTAGGTTTATTGATCTGAAAGTTCACACTACGTAGATCAAAACTTTTTAATTTACATACGAAGAGTCTAAGAAATGCAATAAATGCTATGTCATGTCAATCTCATCCCAAAGAAAGCACATACCAGTGTAGACCCTAGCGTATTACACTTCTATCATGCTATGAATGTTCTACTTTTAATTCTTACACATAATCAGAGAGACAAGTGAATACTATATGATAACAGGTTACCTGTCCTGAAGTAGACTCATCTGGTTGTTGATACCGGCCAAAGCAATGTGCATCATGTGACCACAAGCAGTTGGATGAATGGATCCATTTGATATTATAGTTTGAAGGTTATGTGTTGCTTCCTTCAAAGCAGCAGTTACTGCAGTAGGCAACAAAGTGAGTGATTTGATGACAACCATTGCTCCCCACCTCCTCGCACTCTGCTTTTCAAATGGTGATTCATTTGAAATCTCTACTTCAGATCCACTTTTTCTCTCTATATGCTCGTCCATAAACTCCCATGATGCTATAAGTCCAGATCTGTGCCACTGCATCCTGACACTCCCCTTTACAAGGTAGGGCTGATGACAGATATCAATCATTAGAATGAAAATTTCACAATTTGTAGGCACATAATAAGTCAACACTAAATACCTTGAATAATATTACTTGCAGAGACATAATTTTCAAGACAATGAATAATAGTACCTGGTATAACCTGCGCACATATGTCTCAACAACTCTTCTTTGAAGTGTGTGATCACCATGGTCAAAAAGACCAACGAGTGCATCTTCAACGGCAAGGGGAGCATTCACAAGAGCTTCCATCCGCTCATTTATAGCACTCTTCCGCTTGGGTGTATCCATGCTTTCACCTTCTTCAGTGAACATTTCCAACTCCGAAAGACTTCTTGCAATACTGGAACGCAGCTCACTAAGTTTTGTCTGCTCTAGGAGTTGGCTTGCCTTTAATGCTAACTGCACAAGAGACAGTGAGGTTGACCAACATGTGATCAGAGAGAGTACATAAGCAAACACTTCACGTTAAGAGACCAAAGGAAATTGAACATTGAGGACGAATTCATCATGCCAACTTTTAATTGACCCAATATCAAACACAGAACACTCACAAGAAGACATTTGTTCATGAAAAAAACAAATGAGTGGAACGACAAACCTCGGAGTAATTCGTATGGTTGAGTGTAGAGAAGCGGATTAGTTGATCACGGTATGCAGCAGGATTAGGATACACAAGTTGTTCCAGGAGGCGTAGTATCAGTTTATTTTTGCTCCTAATTCCCTAAATAGTAAGAATTATTTTAACAAAATCTTCATTAGGACATAATAATAAAAGCAGTCCTTGAGCACATTATTAAATTGGCTATACCTGATGGGAAAGTACAATGTCCACAATTTTGAGAAGATCTTTCTTATATTGAAGTCTTAAGCGCTCAATCACATCAGCCTAAAGAGGAGATTACACATCAAATTTCATTTCCAGAAGTGAACAGAACTTGAAGAGCATTTTAAAATCTCTTGCATGTTACCTGTATATTGTCACTAAATAATTCTTCTACTGACAAATACTCTTCGAAAAGACCCTGAACTATGATGCGGGCATGGCTTTCCCTACCACGCTCATAGGATTTGACAAGACTCATCAGAGGCTCAACCAGTCGCTCTTGAGCTCCTTTTTCTTTCTCAGAATAGGAGTTTAGATGGGCCTGAAGCAGCAAATTTAATAGTAAGTGATCTATAAACACTATTTGTAAAGAAAAAAATAATAATAAGAAACAGATCAAAATAGGGGGAAAACAAAAGGCGAAAGATAATGCTATAAACCATGAGAAATAATCATACATGAGAAACAACCATACCTCAAGAACACCACGTAAAACTTTGGCAGGGAAGTCAACATTTTGCGAGCTCTCAATTCCCTCAAACTCCCTGTATCTTGTTTCCAACTGAAAGTTTGCAATGAGAAACAATTGAGGAAAACGCCAAAAA